CACACACACACACACACACACAAACCTATACACATACGCAGAGACCGACTGAAAGGAGGCCAGACAGAGGGTTGTGAAAAGAATAGAGGCTGAAGGCGCTTAAATATAATTGAAAGTAAGCCATTGCATCACTTCTGTTATGGTACTTGTATGACACAGTTTTTAATACTTCAACAAAGTTCTTTTTGGAAGACAGTTGTCTCAACAGGGAAATTGAGACGAGAGTACAAAATGCTAACAGCGTCAGCTACCAGCTTGTCCCACTCCTTAAACATCCTAACATCCCTAATGAGACCAAAGCCAAGCTCATTAACTCTATCTTCATCCCCACCTTGACCTACCAGTGCCAGAGATGGACCTTGACCAAAAGTCTGGAATGTAAAATAACCACCTTACTAGATGAGATGTCTAAGGAGAGCCGTCAACAAAACCAGACGGGACAAGGTCAGAAACAACAAGATCAGGGAAATGATGGGAACACCACCTGTCCTCCACTACATTCGAAGGCAAACAATCAGGTGGTTTGGACATCTCACACGTATGGCACCTCACAAGCTCGTCAGTAAAGCCTACTACAGGAAATCATCAGGGTACAAGGCAAGAGGAAGGCCAAGAAAGACCTGGATCCTGGGTGTGAAGGATACCCAGAGAACATGCCACAAAGCCAGGCCATCAAACTTGCTAGAGACTAAAACTCTTTCTCCCCTCGACGCCCTAGAGGTATAATAAGAGGACGGATAAATAAAGTAAGTAAAGTAAGTATAACACAGTAAGGTTCAGGTTAAAGTTTGGACTTACAGTTTTAATATCCATCTCTCGATGTAATAATATAACGTTATGTATGAAGATAGACTAAGGAATTTTAACTATGGTCACACGTATTGATGGCGCTTAAATGACCATTACTGTGTTAAAGCGCCGAAAAAACATCTACCATACAATACCATACACGTATTGAAGTTCCCCAAGATACAAAAAATCTAATATTGTCCCCTTCTCATGTACACCCATGTCGCTTCTTTTGAAACAATAGGTTATCGCATAGTTTCTGACTTAATGTTGCACAAGTACGTTCCCGCTTACTTCCAAACAGCTCACACTTCGCAAAAGTACGGTACATTAAAATCCGAAATCATCCACTTTCAAAATTTGCATTTCATGCGACCTCTTCATATGGTGGAAGGAGGGGGGGGTTGACCTAGCATAATCTGCCCTACTCACATACAGACATGATTAAGTTAAGTGCTCAAGAAAAATCCCAAAGCATTTGACAGGGTGACAGGAAAACTGCTCTTAAAAGGGCAGACAGGACTACAAAAAAATTAGCTCACTGCGACGGGATTTTTTGGATGTGTGAGCTAGATCTAGAACACTTTTAGAATTTGTAAATAAAAAAATAAATAAAAAAAATAAATAAATAAAAAACAGAAAACGGGTTTATCTCAAAGCAGGTATAAGACTTAACTGTTATATTAGCTTATCTTTCATCATCCTCATCAGCCTTTCTCGCCCCGTGCAGAGTATAGGCCATCAATAAGAACTCTCCGTTTACTTCTGTCTAGGTTTATACATGTAGCATTCTGTCCAACTGCATTTTATCTCTTTTATATTTAAATCTACACGTAAGACCTCATCCTGCAAGTATTATACGGCCTTCCTCTTTTTCTCTTTCCTTGTGGCTTCTATCTTAAGGCCTGGTGGGTAATGATTGATTCTGATTTTCACAAGGTGTATCAAATCCACTTCCAGTGTCTCTTTCTAATTTTCTATTTTCTTTTGATTTGTTTGCTCTTTTAGTTGTTCTCAAAGGTGTAATCAAATGAATTCTTTTAGGATCTTTCTTTCATCAACTATGTGGGTTTTTGTTTTTGTTTTTTATTGGGGGATGGGGGGTAGAAATTAAATCTTCAGAGCTGTTTTTATCAACTTAGGATCTCCTAGCTTGGGAGTGCCGGACCCAGCAAGGCATGCTACATAAGGATGTTCTTTAGCCCCGGGTGCGATAGGAAAGCTAAGATGGTTGGTGATGGCCATATAAAGTAGGGAGTATCAACTATGTTGGAAGTCATCCTGACTGAAAATTTATAGTTTAATTGACTGGTGATCGACACGTTACCACATAAATACTGCAGGGGAAAAACGATTGCAGTCACAAACTGAAAATCGTGAGGGTACCAATTTTGAACGCTTGTTGACTAATTACTGTATTTGTGTTCAACTGTTGGTTGATTATTGTTGATAGATTTCCCATTCAACAACAATTAGCAATAAACTACCAGTCAAACAAATATGAAGTTATGAGTCCACAAGCTTTTAAAATTGGCACGCTCACAATTTCCAGTACGTGACTACAGTCGTTTTTCTCCTGTGCTCTTCACATGTGTCAAGAGTGTCACATTTTGCATCAACATGAATTCCATCCCTTGTACCCTTCTGGGGCCCCTAATCACTAAATCCAAGATGTTATGCTCAGCTGATCAAGGTGTCTGCAGAAACTTGACTGATAACTGTTCTTTGTATTTTTTTTTAGATTCTAGATCAAACTTAGGGTACAGCCAAAATTATATTTTTAAAATCTTCTCCATTGTCTATAACTTGAGTAATTTTGCCTGTCTAGGTCGTCAGAGAGGAGACAGCGTCCTAAACGCAATTCAAAGTGATCTAAATAATTATTGTAATAATTAAAACATATCACATTTTTCTATTATTTTATAAAACACTATGATATATTTTTCCGATATATTGCCTCGATACTTTCATGCATAAATTACTTCTACCGAAACTAAAAGGAACAAATATTAGATATAGTCAATAAACAGCTGACAGTGCCTTTCAAACGGATTTAAATCAGGCTTGAGCAAACGTGTCCAAGTCGAGGGCCAAATTCATCGATTCCGAATATCTCGTGGGCCGAAGGAGGAGAAAATTGAGTGAAATAAGAAAGTGGCCAAACTCTCAAAAAGGAGACTAAAACTGACACTGCACCATGTCAGATAACTTATTAGCTATATTGTTTCGGTTTGGTACGAAAACTGTTCGATTTTAATTTTTTAGACGAACGGTTCTGTCTTTATTCATAATTATCAATCCAACTCGCGCTAGACTCACTATCGGTTACTGGGTCGACTCGCGGGCTGGACAGAAGTGCTGGTTCAAATTATTGTTGCCGGAGGGACAAACAGGAGACAGTGCTCGAATTGGAGCAAAAAGCCAAAATGTCCCCTTGGATCAAATAATATTCTGTCAGCTACACCAGAGTCGGTGATGTATTGGTTAGGCTCCTAGCCGTTGCATACTAAAGTCATTAGTTCGATTCTTGTGTGGGGCAATTATTTAATTGAATATCTCCGTTTTTCGGTGGTGATGCTGAGTTCCACTCTACCAGAGTTCGGGGGGGATAGGCAGGATCAAGGCAGCCCATCATCACTTTTAATGCGAGTCGAAAACCTGTGTCGGTCATCAGAGAAATCAAAAGCAAAAGAACAAGAACACGAAGCCGAGGCGCATTTTATTATTGTTGCGTGCACTCTGTCCCGAACATTAAAATCTATGGGAAAAGTTCAACGTATAATTATAGTCTCATGTTCTTTTTCTTTGAAGGCATACCCAGATTCGCGATTATACTTCTTCTCCTGGCCAGACTATTCAATCACAAGCTCCATGCCTGTTCTCAAGAGGGTTTTCATGGTCGTTCATCAGTGACAGTTGAACAAAATTATAAAGATCGCAAGCAGTGAGAAAATCAAGTAGATAGGCAGACTGGTAAGAAGATAGATGGAAGGAAAGAAAGGATTAGTTCTAATCATTTAGAATACGGGACTTTAAGCTCAAGCTGCATACACGGCTTTTATCTGAGCTTCAACTTTTAGCTCATTGTCATATTGTCATGACACAGTCGGTGCTGTCCTATTGGAGCTAAAGTTGTAAAGCTTTTCCAGCTAACAAAATTTACGGACAACAAGAAGCAGAACCCGTCTATCCTTCTGGACTCAGGTTTGAGCTAGATCTGGATCTAAGACAAGTTTTAAAGAATACCAATTCTGATAGAGACAAGGGAAAATTCATGTCAAACAAAGAAGTCTTTAACTACAAGGTAAGGGTACACTCAATGTCTAGTAAGCATAATATCAACATTGTGGTCCCACTGTGTCTTAATATGGCCAAGTCCAACACGTTATTACTTTTATGAGGCCTGAGGAGAAAGAGGTATTAACATCACGTGTACTCACTCTTTAGCAGAACTTGATTGTATTGAGCATATTGCTATCACCAACAGCCCAGCAGCTGAAAGTGTCGACATGTTGATCCTTAGCGAGACCCGCTCCAACTAAACCACTAGAAAGGAATCACAAGTGGTATTCGAGAATTTCCGCCTCTGGCCACTTGGCCCTCTCTCCTCGGCTTATATACATCCACTAGCCGTCTTTTACCCCATCCTAGCTTGCTTCATATGCTTACAAAATGTAGTGCTCCTACCCCAACGTGTTTATCAGATGTCGGCTGGCTTCTCTCATATGGCTCTTTTTATCCAACTCTACCACGCTTCGCATACGTTGCGCTTTACCCTGTTCGTTACATGTAAGAAATTGTACGACTTAGAGTAAAGGAACTAAACACTCATTTGGCATTGGAGGCAGTACAGATCAAAAGCGCGGGATGGACGGGGGCGGGCATTATTTTCGTGGCTCGCACATGGAAAGATTTGCGTCAACTTCACCGACGCACCTCTCGATTTCTCACGGAAGCAGTTCTGACAACTCACCAATGTACTTCATCTTACGGAAATTAGGACACCCTTGGAGAGCTCTGTGCCGACACGGACTCGGAATATTTTGTTAAGTTAGCGCCGCCGAAATATGGGTTAATGCGAGATGGTAAAACAAGCATGATTTAGTGATCCAGTTTCGCGTTAGAGGATTCCTCATCTGGTTCGTGGATGGGCGGATGTCACAACAAAGGAGAAGGCGTGAAGCATGAGACGGACGAGAGAGTAGGCTACGAGGGTAAACAAACCCAATAGCAGACTTATTAGCTTCGCAGTGAAACAAAGGATGGAAACAGGTTTTGATGGGAAAGAGGGCAGGTTAGACAACATCAAATGGCTCAAGGGCTGACAAACTAATAGACCGATTTTTTTTTCTTTTTTATCTTGGGAAAAGAAACAGGAAGTTATTGTCGTATATCACACAGGAATAAAAACGGTCGAAAGGAGAAAACTGATTTTAAGAGAACAGCCATGTTTATGAAAGGCGCAGTCAAAGGCTTTCCAAAGGCGTAATAGTTCAAAGTTTTTTGGAGTTGGAGAAGGGGAGTCCAACGCTCTCCTAGAAATAAGTAGTTCATTTCTAGGGCGAAACGCATAGGCCTGTGCATAGGATAAGAGTGGAAAGAGGAACGTAAAAAACTGATTGACCAAACTTGATATTACACGTGTGCCTATGACCATGTAAAATGTATTATCATTTGTAGGTATTGCACATGTACAAGAGACCAAAGATGCCTATTTGTAGATATCTCCCGGGTACATAGATGCCCATTTATAGACATCACATACGTACATAGAGGTCCATTTGTTGATATCGCCCTTTTATCTGTGATATATAGCTGTCTATTTGTAAATATCACACATGTACATGGGACCATAGATGTCCGTTTGTAGACATCAAACGACATGTACCTGTGACATAATGGATATATATTTGTAGATACCACTCGTATCATACACTATGTGGCCATAGATGTCCATTTGTAGATATCACCTATGAACATATGACCTAAACTCAGTGTGTTTAGTGTTGCCAATATTGACAACCGTTTTAATTTCCAGCTACATGCCAACAAGCTCAACGTGTTTAATCGCTCATCCTGTCTAAAAACAATTGTGAGGATTCACTAGAAAGATAGATCCCAGACACTAAGGTTCTTGAGAGTGTGAAAGTGCCTAGTATCTTCTACAACCTAAAAAAAGTTAAGGTTAGATGACGTACACTTGATCCGAATGCCAAATACATGTACACAACTCCCCGAATGTATTTTCTAGTGAGATTTAGGTACGTGGAAGGCGGAACGTTGGTTGTCCCTCAAAAAGATACAAAGACCCCCCTGGAAACTTCTTTGAACGATTGTTTCATCGATGTGGATGAGTGGGAAACCTTTTGTCTTTGCCGAACACAGTGACGTAAAGCCGTGACGTGTGGCACCATGGACCCACAGAACTGGTAAGACAAGTAAGAGCTTAAACGAGACCGTGATAAGTGAAGAAGTCTGTGCCTTGTATACTGGTGCGCGACTACTAGATGCGGCTTCTAAAAAAACGCACAATGAGATAAGAAAAAGACGAAAGAAGTCGCAAACCCAAGATTAGTATGCTCAAAACACAGCAGTGTCTGTCTTCAGAGGCAGCGGGAATAGACACATAAACGACCCTCCTTTAGAAAAAACTACGCTGATGAACCAACAGCAACATATATTATACATGTAATTGTTATTCACGACCTCATGTTACAGAAGTAAAGAGCCATTATTCTATAGAATGTTTGTTTATTCCTTTTAGATCAGCCAAGGTGTGTGTGTGTGTAGGGGGGGGGGGTAGGAGATGTCAAAGAATTGAAGGAATATTCTTCTTATTAGAAAAGTAAAAGGCAAATAAAGACAGTAAACTGCTGAGTGTGGGGTGGTGGGGTGATGGGGAGGGGGGCAGGGGTATGTATTCTTAAAAATAGGGAGATTAAGAGAAGGAAGAGTTAAATACGGAAAGTAATGGTAATTGATCGGCAAGTTAAAACTTAAAAGGAGGAAAGGGGGAATAAAGAAAAGTCCATTCAGGAAAATAGTCGAGCAAGCAGACCAATGGACAGAGATCAAATAGAATGAAAGTAAAGATCTTCATCCGAAAACTGAAAGAACAGCTTTTGCTCGTCTTGCAGGATACGCCGAGATAGACATCGTGTATAACATAGAGCGACTTTTTAAAGTACAAAGGACCCTTAGAATACGTTATAAACGATGAAGTTCTAAATAATGCGCCCCGACACTTTGGCGAAAGCCTCCAATACCTGCACAATGAGAGTTAAACACCAGAATAAAACCTTTGTTGAAGGCCGTATTATGCTCTGGATCTGGGGTATAGCTTTGTTTGAAAGAAGTTAACGCATTTTAGAGATACTATATGGAGTGCATTTATTCTAAATACATTTTTGTACTCTGTGTGCAAAAGAAATAAAGATTAAGCTTTGTTAATAAAAGGGATGCAAAGAGACACAATCACAATCATTTTTAGGAACATATTGTATGATTTCAAATATATGAACAAACACTAACACCGAGAGAGAGAAAGAGAGAGAGAGAGAGAGAGAGAGAGAGAGAGAGAGAGAGAGAGAGAGAGAGAGAGAGAGAGAGAGAGAGAGAGAAGAGGGGTGGGGGAGGGTG